TACAGTTGTTACAAGGCAGTTGTTACAAGTGGATGGTTCGTTGTGCTGACATGGCCTCCTCTTGTAAAACTGATTAACTGCCTTCTATTGGTCTGTTCCAGCAGTCTTGACAATCCCCCCTTCCTTTAGAGCGACCTTGCCTTCAAGGTCTAATGTAGGAAAATTTGATTGCAGATCTAAGTAGGATTCCCAGGTTGCATCCTCTTTCGGAAGGTTAGACCAAACAACTAATGCCTCTGGTATGACTCTGCCTCCCCAGCGCACCCATCTGAAATCAATGATGCGGGTTGGCTCATTCTGCACTTGTCCTTCTTCTGAAAATATGGGAAGGGTCACACTTGTAATGACTCCTGACTTCGGCCCCTTGCAGCAAGTTAGCCCTTGCAGCAAGTTACTCTTCTGAAAATATTCGAGTTCTATTAGCCCTTGCAGCAAGTTACTCTTGGCCCTTGTTCCAGATGGACGTTAAAAATGCCTTTCTGAATGGAGACTTACAGGAAGAAGTCTACATGCAGTTGCCCCTTGGATTTTATGATGCAGAGACAGGTAAGAAGGTTTGCTGACTGAATAAGGCATTGTATGGACTAAAGCAGTCCCCTAGAGCTTGGTTTGATAGATTCAGACTAGCCCTTGGAAAATTCGGCTATGTACAGGCCCAGTCAGATCATRCATTGTTCGTTAAAAGAGTGAACTCTTCCTTGACCTTGCTTGGTGTATATGTGGATGATATTGTAGTGACAGAGAATAATAATAGTGAGATTGAGTCCCTCAAACAGCTCCTTCATCAAGAGTTTGAGGTGAAAGATCTTAGTGCACTGCGATATTTTTTGGGTATTGAGGTTGCTAGATCTAAACAGGGGATCTTTATTTCTCAAAGGAAGTATGTTCTAGATCTGTTGGCAGAAACTGAAAAGTTAGGTGTCAAGCTTGCAGATACACCCACTGAACAAAATCACGACCAGTGCAGAGGGTGGAGAGCCTCTTGAAGACAAAGCTATGCTCCAACGGATGGTTGGAAAGCTCCTATATCTCAGTCTCACATGGCCAAACATCAGTTATGCAGTCAATGTTGTCAGCCAATACATGCATTCCCCTAGAACTACTCATCTTCTTGCAGTTGAGAGAACATTAGCATACTTGAAGAGATGTCCAGGTAGAGGTATACTGTTCAAGAATAATAATCACATGAAGGTGGAGTTCTATACAGATGCTGATTGGGCTGGGAGTGCTGATGACAGGAGGTCTACCTCTAGATATTGTGTCCTTGTAGGAGGTAACCTTGTCTCTTGGAGGAGTAAGAAACAAAGTGTTGTTTCTTGCTCTAGTGCCGAAGCTGAATACAGATCAATGGCTAATGGAGTGGCTGAAATCATTATTTGAAGAGTTGGGTATTGATTATGAGAAGCCCTTGATGTTGTATTGCGATAATCAGGCAGCTATTAATATAGCTCACAATCCAGTGCAACATGACAGAACTAAGCATATCGAAGTTCATCGACATTTTGTCAGAGAAAGGGTCTCATCACAAGAAGTGTGTCTCCCGTATATCACCTCCAACATGCAGCTCGCAGATCTTCTCACCAAGGCTGTTCCAAGGAAGAAATTAGAGGCAGACCTATGCAAGTTGGGAATGACAAATATCTATTCGCAACTTGAGGGGGAGTGTAGAGAACACTGATGTGGGCCCCACGGCTGTGGTCCCCACTGTGTTCGTGTGATAGCACATGTAATCTTTGTTAGTTATGTCAATGTTGGTTGGGGGTTATTTTAGACAGCTTGTTATTTCAGTTTATTATTGTTTTATTTTCCATGTAAGCATTAAGGGCAATTCTGCCTTTTCCTACAATTAGTGAACATAACGTATAAATATTGAGAGAGTGGCGGTGGCAGATTCATTCGATCTGTCCCTCCTTTTCAAAACCCTTGTGTACTTCTGCTTTCTTCTTCTTCTTCTCCCTCTTTCCTTCTACTTTTCTCAATCTACAATCTTTTGGAATCCAAGACTGACTATAGTCTTGATCGACTACTAATATATATTTAAAATAAGAAGTTACATTAAAAGACTATGTTTTCTCTGTTGCTACAGTAGTCCGAACCAGTAGAAGAGGAGAAGAAGAAGAAGAAGAAGATGATGATGAAAGAACAGTCGAACATAATAGGTTAAACCCTATTAGCCGACCCTTAATATTGATTAGGCTCTAATTAGTAGTATAAAGACTAAACTTCCCCCACAGTATGGGACAAGAAGTCTCTATAAAGACTGCCACATAAGCACATAACTTAACAGAAGTCAATTGACTAATCTACCCTTATTCGGCTAGCTCTAACACTCCCCCTCAAGCTGGAGAATATATGTCATATAATCCCAGCTTGTTACATATATAGTTCACTCTCCCTAAGCTTAAGCCTTTTGT